TTCCCCTGATGCCCCTTTCAGGCAGTGCAATGGGATGCAAGAGCTTAAAGACAACCTACAAATGTCAGACACAATGTCACAGAGTAGTTTGCTTTTCTTTCCAGCCAAAATAAATCCTTTTGGCACTGGTTGGAGTTATTGGCATTGAAGGTTAAGGTCATTTAGCAATATTTTCTCATTTATCAACAATCTCAGCTGTCTGCAATGGGAATGCAAGAAAGACACAGCATGTCTCTACCATGTCAAAGCCTGACTGAATCCACATGCTCAAAAAGGAAAAAATCCTTCAGCTTAGAGTCCTGAACTCCTCTTTTGTGACCACTCAGAACCAAGTGGACCAAGGGTTCATTCTCTTCTGAGAAAGCCATAGAGAAAATTTTATCACATTGTACTTTTCCTTCTTTTAGCATCTCTGTTGGAGAAACAGGCAAACAAAGTTGCACAACATGGAAGAAGGGCAACCATTCATATCACCATTACGACTAGTTTTCTCCATTGGAATTAAAACTTTGGCACGTTCTGCACTCATTTAACATTTACATCTCTCCTTGGAGATCAGTGAACAGGCAGGTTGAAGACACTTCACCAGACACACTTAAGTCCCCCTCTAGGGTACAGATTTTAATAAGTAATAGGAAGAAAAATTTTCCAGAAAAAAAACAAATTAATTAGGACCTTCATATACTGTCTGAAGAAAATTTTGTGGCATTTCAAGAACAATTTGGTTTTGGCTAAACAGATGACATAAGTTCTTTAAAAGGAGAAGCCCTAAGACTGGGTTTTCAGGGGAACTCCAGGACAGACACAATGTCTGCCAGACCAGTTTCTCACAGAGGGATATACAAAAAGAATACCTTGTTACTTAAGAACAGTGGAACAACTTCCATCAAATGTTCTCACCAGCCTAACAGTCCAGATAGTTTATTAGCCTCTCTAAAAATATTTGAGAGTTGCTGTTACAATCAAATAGCCTAACAAAGTAATAAAGTAACTTGTCTTTTCAAAAAATTCTGCATTTACAAATCACACTCAACATCACTATACTTATGCAGACACTTTCTTCTAGTGATTACTACCTGATTCATTGGTAGATGTGAACTAAATTGAGAAGGAAAATAAAGCTTGGTGAATCAGAACATAAATCTTGTATTTCTTCCCTTTGAGCTTCAACCCAACAGATGGCCAGTTCAGATGATTCAATGATGCTTTTAATGAGAACTCCAATGGAATACTGTTTGGGAGGAGGATGCAGCCTCAAGGTCACCACCACTCCTCTCAGCATGCACGGCCACAGCCCACACCAGCCCATGAACAAATAAATGAGAAAATCACAGCATTACCAAGTTCAGCAGCTCACCTCAGCGTCAGGCAGACAAAGAGAAAAACAACAAAATCCAGTCAGAGCCTAGCAGCCAGCTCTCAACTGGGCAGCGCTTGCTGCTGCTCCTTTTCAGAATCATTTTGGCTCTGCTTAGCCAACTCCAAGTCAAGCACCTCATGGGGCTTTTGGGGAGCAGTTGCACTGCCAGGACAGCAGAGTTGGCCAGCTGGTGGATGGAAGATGCATCCTGTACAGAAGATGCTCAGGACCCACCACCTCCAAGTGTTCCTCATGAACCAGGCACGTGAGGACAGCCACGCTACTGCACCAGCTCTCCATGCCTCCTGTCCTCCTTTAAGCTGAACCACAGGCTTGGTCAGCAGGGCTGCTCCTTGTTAAGACTGCCTACCACCTGTTCTAATAAATATTTCTGTAAGAGTTTGATGAAACAGGAAAATGGTGCCATACCTCCAGATGCAGAGATTTCAGACTCTAGCACCAAGGAAATCAAGATACCTGCCTCTCTAAAAATTTCTGCAGCAGTTCAAATGAAACAGTACAAACTGGACATACCATGGTGCTGTCAACTATTAGGATGCAAGTATGAGCAAGGAACAGGCTCTCCAACTAATTCTTTAAATAGCTGATTTACTTTGAAAGATGATCAGTGAGAGCATTCTACAATTTTGTGTTCCATTTCTACATGGAGAAATAAGAAAAGTAGCAGATGCAGATCAAAAGATGACAAAGGAAAATAGCAAGTATCACAGCTGTGATTTCATTAAATTATTTAATGTAAATCAGCTTGAGATTAAACAAGCACTATACAATACCCTGCCAAGGGTCTTGTCCACAATCAAAATGTTTAAGGTTTCATTTTTAAACCCACATCCAAAGAGGATTACTGGAATATAATTAAGAGAAAACCCTCTAGACTTTCACACAAGGTCAACCACTTGTTGAAGGTGGTTATTTTTGTTGATTATACTGCATGCTTGTGAAGTTGATGACATTTGAGTTACTTCATATTTGGCAATTTTTCATTGCAAAAGATCCCTTCTCTCATGACATTGCCCAGGAAACCTCATCTCTTTTCCTAGCATACGACTATATTGGTTTAGCATTCTGGCTAGAGTTTTTCACAACAAAAGTAACAGAAAAGCCCAAATGTGGGAACTGATCACACACAAGCTTTGGAGAAGGGCCTTAACTCTTTCAAAGTCTCTCTTCCTTTCAGCAGAGTTAAATAATCATGTAAACAGCCCATATACCTCAAGAACACCCATCTTCAACATTATTTGCTTGCTACCAGTTCATTTTAAGGCCTGAGGAAAGAATCACCTTCTCTAGCATCAAGTAAGGTGTTTCACACCATTATTTAATATTGCTCACGGAACCATAGAATAATGTAGCTTTAAAAGGATCCTCAGAAGTCACAGCTACCTCTACTAAAGCTAGTGAAAACAAGCAGCTCTGAAAGCAAAAAGTTTGCAACAAATGAAACAAGAGAACCCTATGAAGATCTCCTGGGCAATATACTAGGGAGTTACTCACAGCAGTACATAATAAATTAAATCTAAGAAGTTTCTTTCGTGTGTACACTCTTAATTCATTCAATTTAAATAGCCCCATGATACTAATAACTTTGTTATTTTCTTTAAAAAAATATTCTTTAAATGCTGCATTTCTTCAAAGTGCAAAAAGTATAAAACAGTTTCATGATTTTGAGTGCTGATTTTATTTCAAGTTAAAAAAAGTTTTAAGGCTTCCATTCCTGGAGCTCCATCTCTGTTCCTATGTACAAAGGATGACAAGGAGTTTCAGGGGGAACAAACAAACTCCCCAAATCAAAACCAATTGAGTCCACCATTCCAGGGAAGAAAACAAATGAATCCTGAGATGGACAAAAGCAGGCCACTCCTGCCATATACACACACAGGTGTTAAGCACAGACAAGACTGCTTCTCATTCGATCTTTCATCTCTCTTCTGAAGGTAACACTGGTCTTCATTGCTGTTCAGCATCTGCAAAGATTCCTCAACTGCACACTGCCAGGAACAAACCCCCCAGCTCTCAAAAAGGTTGCTCTGTCAAGCACAACACCAAAATCCCACTTTGGCAAAATAATCATTGGATTAAAATAATAGTAATAAAAAAAGACAAAAATCTACCCAAAATAACTTTTGCCTCCTTGCAGGCTGCATAAGGCATATACAGGAAAGTGGTGGTGAGATACATCAACCTTGATCACAAATAAAACACGTACTGCAAGCTTTAAAAAAAAAGAAGCATTGACCATTCTAAAAGCACTGAAACAACCCATCATTTCCTTGGTTTCTCTGCTGCAACACTGGTTGCATGATGTTTGCAAGTGACAGCAGCACTGTGCCCCTAATGCAGTCTAAATCATAACATTCAGCACGGTTTCACAGTCTTTAAGTGGCTACAACAACAAGAAGTTGATTTATGAGTTCACTAAAACAGAGAAGCCTTTCTTTGCCAGAAATTTCAAAGTCTGCTCTAGATTTTTATATGAACATGGAATTTCCATTCTGTCTCGCTTCCCTGTTCAGTAGAACAGGGTCACATAAAATGTTTTTGCTACTGTCAGGATAGGAAAGGGCCCCATTTTTGATTGAAATCTGGCATTTTAACTGTCTCATTCAGGTAACACAGGAGTCAGCGGATAGGAGGTGCACAGCCCTTTCTCTGCATGCTTCAAGGGCGTTTGAGCATGCTGAGAAGTGGCTATTCTGACACAAAAAAATTACTCTGTTTCTAGGGAGGTATCGCTGAGTGTCTGCTATATAGAATCAGAATCAATCGGATTGGAAAACAACACTGAGACCACAAGAGTCCAACCTAAGCCCTAACACCACCTTGCCAGCTGGACCGTGTCACTGAATGCTACATCCAGTCTTTCCTTAGAGACCTCCAGGGATAGTGACTCCAGCACCTCCCTGGGCAGCCCCATCCAAAGTCTAATCACCCTTTTTGTGAAGAAACTCCTCCTAATGCCCATCCTGAACCTCCCCGGACACAATTTGAGGCTGTATGCATGCTACAACAGATATCCAAAGCACCAGGGACAAACTAAAGCACTAAAAGGAAAACCAAGGCTGTACCAGAGCGTAACCATCAGAAGGGACTACAGCAACCACCCCTAAAATCTTCCCTATTGACATTTGCAAGGAGGAGTATTTCTTTGCCCTTTAGAGACAGAAAGTCAGCCTTAGTAAATTTTAGGTCATCTATTGCTGTTGTCATCTACAAGCTGTAAATCAGGCTATAAAAGACATGCCATACCATGGTCTGGGGTGGGAGGGAGCCTGAAGATCCCACAGTTCCAGCCCCAGGAACACTCCTGACCAGAGCAGGGCTGCTCAGAGCCCACCTCAGCAGAACCTGCATTTGATAAACCTCCAGCTGTTGGCTCAACGCAGCCAAGCCTCCCTTCCTACCCGATTTCAGCCTTAAAGCACCTGCGAGCGCTCAGCACGGCCGCCAGCCTTTTCTAGGGGGTGAAAGCAGCAGGTCAGCGGCTAGTAAGGGAGATTAAACCCGCCATTCCCGGCTGCGGTGGACAGCGCTCCTCTCCGCCGCAGCACTTCATCACGGGGGACGCCACGCCGCGGCCGGGCCGGCTCGCCCACCACCGCCCCGTCCCCGCAGGCCCTACCCGGGATGGCGAGGTTGGAGAGCGGCAGGGAGCGCAGCGCGGGCGGCAGCGAGCCCATCCAGTCCGCGTTCCCGTCCGCCATGGCGCCGGGCGCCGGCGCTCCCTCACGCAACCGTGCCAACCCCGCCGCCCTTATATAGCCGCCGTGACGTCACGGGCGCGGCGGCTCCCCATTGGCCGCCGCGCCGCGGTGTGGCGGGCGGGCCGGGATGGCGGCGGCCATGGCGGCAATGGCGGCTCGGTGCGGCTGTGGGGTCCCGGCGGCAGCGCCGTGCTCCGGCACGGGCAGCTCCGGGAACACCGTCCGGGAGGGTGCGGTGTGCCTCCAGCACGCCGCCCTGTGCGAGCAGTCTGCGCCAGGGCTCACTGCACAGGGAGGACGTTGTGTCTCGTGTGCGGGTAGAACTTCCCGGGACTGTTTGTGCTCCTGTTGCTGGGCAACACCGAGCCGAGCCTGGCTCCGTCCTGTTGGCTACACTGTTATGTGTGGTACATATAATTCGTTTCCAGTATGGTATATATGATATTGAATATTTGTTGGAGTATACATGTTTGTATTAGGAGTCCCCCCCACCCTCGCAGGCGAAACCTGGTGTGTGTTGAAACCTGATTTACACGTAAAAGGATGTGGCTGGGCCAGGAGGGATACGGGGATGCCCAGGCGCTGATCATTGCGTGAATTACCCGAGATGGATATTATAGAAATATTATAGAAATATTATAGAAATATTATAGAAATATTATAGAAATCCTCGGGCAGATACAGGTGAATGCAGCGTTCCCCTAAATTTCATCAAGGGATTCACCAGCTCCAGGACACGGGATTGTTCTTCCTCATCACCAAAAAGAAAATCTCATTAACCTATGGACTCTGAATGGAAGAAAAGACTGATTGACGAAATCTTGGCCTCAGGTGGAATTTTCCCTATAAAACCCGCCTATGCCAGGATGGAGGTGTGTGGGCACAGAGGAAAACCTCTGCTGAGGCTGACTCCTTGTTGCACACCCAAGATCCATCCCCGGGCTCAGCTCTGTTCTTTCCTTGTGGCTGGCTAGATAGAATCTGATTGCAAAATAAATATTTTATCTTTTTCATTTTTATTTGGCTGGGCAAATTTTCATTTATAGCAACACCCTCCCTTCAGATACTGATAGACACTGACAAGGTTCCTTCTCAGGCTGCTCCAGACCAAACAAGCCCAGCTCCCTCAGTCATTCCACATCAGACAGACACCAGTCCCCTAAAATCCGCTTGTGAAAAATGCATATTTTATGATTGGCTTTTCGCAAATATTACAATGAATATTATATGTGTAATGTTAGAAAGTTATGCTTATTAATTCTCTTAAGTAGTGTGTTAAATATAGTTTTAGGTTCCAACATAATGTTAAAATAGAGACTATGTATGTGGGAGGAGTTTTTTTTTTTTTTTTTGGAATGAGACACTCGCTTTGAGAGACACCTAAATCTTCCAAAGAAAAGAAATTTATGGTTTTCTTATCAGAAGAAGCCAATTTCTTCAGGCCTTGCTCAGACTCGAAAACGCCTTGGGGTTAAAGGAAATAGTTGACATACAACAGAGTTCTTATTTTAAATAGAATGTATGCATAACCATGAAGGATATATGAATATGCAACAAGTGTATTGTTTTTAAGGTTATTCCTTTGTTCACAAGGGATGCTTTTCATGACTTAGTGTCCGAGAGCATCCGGACCTCCGTAATTCTTTGCTTTTTATTGTCTTGTAATTGTCCTAACTCTAAACTTTATTACTCTAATTGTATTACTATTTTTATAACCATTTTATTATTATTAAACTTTTATAATTTTAAAAACCAAGTGATTGGCGTTTTTCACATCTGGAGAGACTTACACACTGTCTGGCAAGAGCTGTCAGGGCAGCAGAAGGTTAAGGAGCAGGACAGCACAGGCTCAATCCCCCACCACCTGCTCTTCCACAATTCCCTTTCCCCAACAGTCTCACACTTGACCTTTCACTGCATTTGGTTGTTAGGGAAAGAATTTTCTCCAAAATAATTTCTGGATTTGCCATGATACACAAAATTGATCTTCTAAGATAGACTTTTCCTCCCTTGCATTATGATGTGTCTTGGAAGGATAATGCTTTGTGAGCAAGTTTTCTTAACTGCTCCTTAAAAATATGTACAAACATACTATTTCCCTACTCTTCCCATAGCATATAGAGATCACAAGGTGTAAAACAGTGAGGCCTACTCTGTCATGTCAGTGGGAAAAAAAAACAACAAAAACCAACAAACCACAAATACCACAAATATAATTCTGAGATAATTTTTCAGTATCAAATTACTAAAGGCTGAATACAAAATACCAGAAATATGTATTTTGGAAGTCCTCTGTTTTGTCTGTAAGGAAGTATGTTTTAATTAAGCAGGTATTTTTCATTTGGTACATTACAGTTTGCTCATTATTCACAGAATGCTTTAATGATTGAACTGTAAAGTATACATAAACTTAATGCATTTGTAAATACACATTAACTATATATTTTCATAGAACAAAATCAGAAGCTATCTCCTTCCATGGGTCAGCATTTTTCTTGTCAAGGAAGCCAACAAAGACATTTTGCTTTTAGATCTTTGATACTGAAGAGGCTTAAACCCAGTGCAATTTGTATTATAAATTTCCACAAGGCACTCCTGACCTCACGCTGGAGGAAGAGCATGGAGGGCAGGCCCTGCATGCATTCCATTGTCCTGCAGCCCTGCTCCTCCTTCCCACTGAGACCACACTTGCCCCGATGTAGAAGACAGCAGGGTGTGCTCTTCAAACCCATGTGTATGAGATCATGAACATTTTCGCTTCTAAAAACATATCTTCAACTAGAGAGTGGTTATGTTATGATGATTATGTTATGTTATGTTACGTTATGTTGTTATGTTATATGTTGGAGCCCCAAACAGTCCCTACCCCTGCAAGTTTATCTCCTTAGAATCTCTGTTTTAATGTACATTATTCACTCTCTCATGCTCCCACCTTTGCAGCTGGTGGCTGTCCAGGAAAAGAGCACTTGTGAACTCCTTGAATGCAGCGGACAACCACGGCTGTGCCACGTGTAGCTTTCCAGGATGAGGAAGCCTTGCAGTTCAGGGGTAGCCACTTCACAGAGGTTGGTTTTTTCCCAGGACATCTTTGTGCCTTTGGGCAGGGAAACTGTAAACACTCAAATCTAGAACCAAAACTGTTACGGCTGACTACTGACACAGTACTGCTGGGTGTCCTAGCCAGACCCCATCCTGCATTTCCCATCTCTCAAAGGACATAAAGATGGGTGTGTTTGGCAGGCAGCAGTCTGAAGAGGAACAGGAGGGTGTGCTCTGACATGGGAGGAGGAATTTAGTCACATCTACCATGAGAGCAGGCCTTAGCAGTCCTCTGTCATCAGATCAGCTAAAAAAGAGGAAGCTGAAGCAGGAGGAATCTCAAACCTTCTCTCTTCACAGCCTCCCCAGAACCTCTGAGCATTTGCCATCACTCATCTAAGGTACTGGAGAACGTGACAGCTTCAGGGTACTTCTGTTTTCTCCCTTGTGCACAGGTAGTTTCAGCACCCCCGGGTGATGATGTGCAGGATGAGCACGCCCTGGCTCTTGTGGTTAAGATGGTGTCTACATCTCCAACCTGCAAAGGACACTTAAGACTGTGTGGGACACCACCCAGCTGGCAACCAGAATGGTAAGGGAAGGAGGACATGCATCCATTCAGATTTGTGGGGTGAGACTTCAGCTGTGAGCATCAGATGTAGGGCTTGCCAGCAGTAACCACTAGCAAAATTTTCTTCTGGTCCAAAAAATCCTTCCTTTTCTAAGAAAGAAGAGTATTAAATGATCTGTTGTCTCCACAAAACCTCAACCTCCTTCCAGCTACACAAAACTTTGTAATTTGCTTCTGTAATCACTACCAAACCTTGCAATCATGATCATTGATTGAGATAGCCAGAGGGAACAAATGGCATTAATAATACAATTTTATTTTCCACAGACTAAACTGACAAATTATATAGGGTCTTGTCACTTGAGACCATTCAAATGCTCCACTTCAAGCAAGTATTTAAGTGGCTGCAAAAATGACTGCCTAAGCATACAGGGAAACATCATGTTATGGATATTTTTTCATTCTGTATCAAGACTAGTAGGTATTTTTCCATGTTACTGGAGCATTCCCATATGAATAACATTCAGCAATGAGGATAGCCTGACTAAAACTTTACTATCAATTTCCCCCCACAGATTATATAGTCACATAAATATATATCATATTTATGCCTTATGTGGATTTACTGAGAACTCAGCTATTCCCTTTTGCCTGGGTGCAGAGCACAAGCCAATACCACAGGCAGCCCAGACAATCCAGCAGCTCAAATCCCATTCCCATCCTCCTAACCCTTCTGTTTCAAATGCATAGTAAAAAGATTAGCTGTGCAGATCAGGCTGATGCTATTTAAGCACCAAGAGGCATATGGTTTTCACTGTTAGCCAATTCCAAACACACAAATGTGGTTTATTTCAATTTTAATATGTGGGCTGCCATATACAGAATATAAATCCAGAACAATTAGCTTTTAAAAGAGCTTTAAAGGAACTGAAAATAAGCTGATAATATCAGGTACTACAGGGAGCTTAGCCTCTTTCTCCTTACCATATTGAATACCCTGATAGCATGTCCCATTCTTAAACAGGCTGCATTTCTACTACTAGAAAGCTTTTGTTAATGTTTGAAAAATCATCCTTTTTAGCCCAAAGTCTTCAGTGCCATGTAAATTCCAAATCCTTACAATGCAATTTATCAGCAGGCAAGAGATCAAATAAGTTATTGGAATGGCTTTTGTGTCTTCTGTGTATTTGAAAGGTCACTTTGCTGCTGATGAGAAGAAAACTGCAGGATTCATTTGCAGAGAGAGAAGCTAATTGCTCAACATTTCATGTAAGTATACTCAGACTTTTCAAGCTGTTCATTACCATTTTTACCCTGACTGCAATAGAATCATTTAACATCTCAAACCATCAGCCACACTCAATCACAAAGCTCTGCAGACATCACTGCATTTAAAATGCCACTTC